CCCCCCCCCCCACGCCGTAAACGTCTTCGGCATAGATTAGAGCGTCGGCAAAGACGGGCAAGAGCTGGAGGCGGGACAGACGCCGACCTGTCCGGGCGGCTGAAGTGTCCGTTGTCGCGACCGCCACAGCCCAGCGCGCTTTGGCGGCCACTGCGCCCGTGTAATTTGGTCGTCCGTTCGCTGGGCCGTGCTTCACACAGGTGGCCACGGTTCGAACGCAGTTTGTCCCGCTTCCAGGACTGTGACGTCATAGCTGTCTGATGGTGCGGGCGTTAATGAGCGCTTTGTGCCGTCCGCATCGCGCGCGCATGCATCGCGCGAGGACGGAGAGAGCGAGAGAGCGGGGAGAGAGAGGGAGGAAGAGACGGAATAGAGGCAGAGAGCACGAGAACGGAGGGTAGACAGGGCGAGGGAGACAGAGCAGGGCGGGAGAGGGTAAAGAGGGAGAGGATCAGTCATGTGGGAGGAAGAGCGATCAAATGCATCTCACCACGCGGGCGATGGTGGTTGGATGACCTTGTCCTGTTTGGTATTGTGATGCCCCTGCCGCCCTGATTATGTAAAACACAGGGTGCGCGACCCACGGCGTGGGATAGCGGCTCGCTAAAGCGTGCGCCTGTGACCGCTTATCGCCCCCTCTGCCCCCCCCCCCCCCCCCTCCACCCGTCGTCCGCCCGTAACGGGAGGTGCGGGTTATGTGCGCAGGTGACAGTGGCGTGGGGCCCATCGCCTGCGACCGCTCACGTGTCGCGCGAAACGCGTCGTGGCCCGGCCGTGTCCGTGAGTGGACCGTCGTGGGCCCGTGAGTCGGCTGCCGTTGGCTCGTGAGTCGGCCCGCCGTGGGTCCATGGGCCCGAGAGTCGGTCGCCATGGGCCCGTGAGTCGGCCGCCGTGGGTCCGTGGGCCCGTGAGTGGGTTGTCGTGGACCCGTGAGTCGACCGCCGTGGGCCCGTAGGTTTGACCCCCGGGTCCGTGAGTCGGCGGTCCCGGCGGTCGTGACCCCGCCGCGCGCTGACGCGCCCCGCCGCGCCGCTGACACGGAGGTGACCCCCGAGCCGGCCTAACGACCCTTTGTGTGCTACTTTCTCCGGCGGTGCGGCGCGCTGCCGGCCACCGCCGCCGGCCGCTTTTGAGACCGCTCGGGCAGGACGGAGGGACGGCTCTGTCGTCCGCGTCCGAGCTCCAGACCCGGCGAGCTGCAGAGCGGCGTTGTATGGCGGGACACATGCGTGGGAGGGGGGTTTGGTTCTCTAGAAATGGGTCGAGTGGGCTTTTTGGCCAGGTGGCTGCTGATGGCCAGTTTTCTGTCGTCGGATTGAAATGCATCGCTAGGCAGCTTTTTTGCGACGCTCGTGGGCCTTCGGCGCGAAAACCGGTCAGACGCACGGAGCCGTGTCTGCTCTGTCGGAGACAGACCGCTGTTTGGGTGTGTGGTCGGAATTGGGACACATCCCCGACCCATTTTCCTAATATGTGCCGAGCTCGTTCCGAACCTCCGGGACACTTCGGATGGCGTGGCGCAAGCCGATTAAGGCGGCTACATGTGCCGGAGCCGCTGGACTGACCATGTCTTAAAGGCTAAACGGTTTGCGGTAGGGAGCCACACATGCACTCGGTGAGACGCACCATGGCGCGTGGTTTGGCGCGCCCACTCCCCCAGCGCGCGGCTCACACCTCCGTGCCATCCGCTGCTGTTCTTGACCGGCGCGGCCCTGCCGCCGGGCACCTCCCCTGCCGAGCCGGGGACGGTGCGCGCTGGGTTTTTGTGGCGCGCGCGGAGCGGTGCGGCGTGGCGCCGCTGACTGTCGCCGGACGGGGGTCTCGTCGGCCTGTCGGCACTCGCCGGCGTCTCCAGCAGCCCTCCCCGCCCGGATGCCCGACTGCCGTTTTCGGCGGGGGCGGAGCAGGTGGCGCTGGCACCGGTGTGTGTGTGGGGGGGGGGGGGGGCTCCGCAGCGCAGCGGCATCCCCTGGCCGGCTTCCTTCTGAGGGCTGTGGTATTCGTAGCGCCGTTGTGGGGCTTGGTGTCCGATTGGAAAGGCTGTAATCCGATGCCCCAGAGTGTGGCGTGGTCCCGATATGGCACAGGTTGTTTGACACTGTCAGACGGGTCCCGGGACGTCCAGGAGACTCCGCCGTGGGCCCCAGGTCAGGAGTCTAGCCCAGATACTGTTTCGCCCCTCCCCTCCCCGGCCCGGCCCGTTGCCGTGCAGATAACGGGACGGCTCGGCGATGGACGGTGATCCTTCTTGCTCCATCTGTCTCAGTATCGCCACCTCTAGAACAGACCTGCTGTGTGATCCGCCATGGTCTCAGTATCGCCACCTCTAGAAACAGACCTGCTGTGTGATCCCGCCCCGCTGTCCCCCAGAACGTCACGCCGTTCCTCCCTGCTGTCCCCCCGGGGTACTCGGCCGACCCCGTCGTCCCCACCCATCGCTCTCGTCGCCGGCGCCGTCAGCTGGAGCGGCGCGGGACGGCCAGCCGGTGGCGGTCTCTCAGTGCTGGGGATGGCAGGTCCGGCTCGAGCCGACAGCGGCGGCGATGGCGGCGGTATGACCCCAGAGCTGCGCTGTGATCCCGCCAGGCTGATCCACGGCCGCCACGGACCCCACTACGGTGCCTCAGCCGGCCGGCGCTGTTCTCGGGGCCTGCCGGCTGGCTAGGCCGGTTCGTTGGGATTTCCTGTGGGGCCACAGGTGACGGCAGGCAGGGCTGACCCGCTGACGCCGCGGGCCGGCCCGGTTGGGTCAGGCCGTCGTCTGAGCGGCCGCGGCGGCTGCGGACCCGACGCCTGGAACGGGACTGGCGGAGGCCGGCTGTGCTCGGCTCGACAGGAGTGAGGATTGAGAGCGATTCAGATCCACCCGCGGCGCCGTGTGGCCGCTGCTCCGGGTCCCACCCGCCACCGCGCGGTGCATTAGTGACGTAACGCTGGCGTCAGCACCGCTGGCGTGGTCGCCGGCGGCGCCAGGGCCGTGTTGGCGTCCGTCCTTGGCTGCTGAAGAATGTGCGGTAAATAGCCGCGAGAACTAGTCTGCGAGTTTTTCAAGTGTTGGATTGACACGACTGGATCGGCCGTGTAAAGGCCGCCGCCGCTGGTGTGCAGGCGGTGGTGGCGCGGCGGACCCTTCAACGTTTGCCGAACGCCGTGTGGTCGTTGAATGTGCGTCGGGGGATGAGTGATTCGCAGAGACGCCGCGACAGGATCCTGGCGCGGGCCCGCGCTCGTTCCCCTCCTTACTTGTTCCGTTCTTGGACGCGCGCGCCGCGTCCCGCCCAGGGCAGGACTCGCACCGGAGGATACAGGCCATAGCCGGCGCCCGTCAGCCCGGCTGGCCAGCGTGTGGGACGTGGTGGTGGGACGCAGCCGCGAGACTGTACAGCCGCAGCGTACGTGACGCGAGGCTGTACGGACCGGCTCGTGCTCTCCGCTGGGACGGGCCCGCCTTGTGCCGAAAGGCAGCTCGTGGAGAGAATGCGGGAGGGTGGACCGGTGTCCAGCTCAGCTTACCGGGCATTGCGCGGCGGCCCGCAGTTCCTGGAACCGGGGCGTTGGTCATAGTTCCAGCACATGTTTGAGTTGGAGATTACTTCCTCTTCGTGTCGCAGAAAACAGTCCAAAAAGTCTACGTATCGGGATGCTGCATGAGATGTCTCGTGCCCGTGCAAAAGCCGTCAAATACTTGTCCCACCTCGTTTCCTAGCTTCTGCACACGACTCGCCAGTGAAGGCACGGTGATTTCGTACGATATTTCATGCAGCGATGGCTGGTGAGCGTTCGTGACTTCTCGTGCAGCAGGCAACTGCCTATACGCAATTCCAATTCATCTGCATTGACACATTAACTCCGCTTGTCAATCAGCGATCGGATCAAACGTATGCCGTCCACCTGGCCGAGAGGTTCGTGTCCACTTTTTGTTCCGCGCTCAAATCATTGTAATGAAGCCTGGTTGCGCCGGTCGCATCCAATCTGCGAACGCCCGCTTTCTGGCAAAACGAGACCAGCGATCGACTTTGAACCCGGGCTTCTGAACGAATCCAGATTATTTCCAACGTCTTTATCTCAGCCAAGTCCGAGCGGGTTGAGACCGATGTCGTAAACCCTCCGCCGGTCACGAGGCTCCGTTTCGGAGTGGCGGGGGTGATAGACTCTCCTACAATTATGGGCTGTCGCGCTCATCGGGTAGGACGAGATAATTACTAGTGCTGCTATCTGCTGTCATCGCCCATGGGTTTTGTGGACATGACAAGGACGGCTGAACGTGAACTGTGTATCCCTTTTGAATTGTGAACAGCGCAAGGCCTTCATGGTGGAGATGTGTTTGATATTACGAAAGCGTTGTTAAGTTTCAATATGTCGGATAAAAATACCGGGTTGATCTTATTTGATAATTGCGAGGAACGTTGCCCATGCCCTCTTCCGTGCGTGCGTTCGTGCGTTCGTGTGTGTGTGTGTGTGTGCGTATGTTGTGTGCGTGTGCGTGTGCGTGCGTGCGTGTTTGCGATTTGCGGTAAGGCCCATGTCTGCGGGTGATTGGTGCGGGTACATACACCGCTCTGCCTTCGGGAGAGCACCAACTTGGTCAGTTTCGCTCGCTCTCAGTTCCCTTACGGTTCCGCTTCGTCTCCTTGGCTCCAACTGGTCTACAACTCGCCTGTTCCCGCTCAGCTCGTCCCCCATCGCTCCCGCTCTGTTCCGCTTTATCTCCACCTCATCTCCTGCTCGTTTTTCGGTTCCACCTCGTCCAACCCTCGTCTCCTGCCGTCCCTTCCGCCGGTCCGGGCCGCCCGGCCCCTCGCACCGCGCCCGGTCCCGGTCCGGCTCCGTCCCGCTGCCGCCGTTCGCGCAGTCAGCTGACTGCCGCGCCGCCAGCGCCGCCAGCGCCGCCCGGCCGCCTGGCGGCGGGCGGCCGCAGCTCCCTCGTCAGTCTCGCTGCGGCGCCGTCCCGGAGCGCCGTGTACCGAGAATGGGTGAGCAATATCGGACTGGCGGCGGTCCGGCGGCGCGGCGGCACTCAGCAGTGACAGCCCGGCGCTGCCGACGCGGCGACCTCGGTCTCGCCGCTGACAGGTAGGACGGCCGCTCGCCGGCCTGGGCCGCCAGCTGGCGGCGCCCGCTCTCCGCTTTGTTGGGCCGGTCTGCGCTCTTTAGTACGCCGCCAACGGCAGGTGGCATTCGGTCGCGGTCGGTTCCTCTGATGCTGGTGGTGTTTGCTTGCGGACGTGACTGGTGTCCAGTGTTGACACATATTGGCCCCGGACTTTTTAGCGTTGCATCTTATGGACCGCTGTGGTCACGAGCGGCATGATAGGGCATTCCAAGTGCGGCATGGAGCCGAAACAGAGGTACTGGAAGGGTCGAACCCACGAGCTGTAGTCCAGTCATGTCGTCTACAGTGCCCGGTTTCCTTAGCTTGCGGTTCTTCGCTCGCAGCGCGGATCTGACTGCGTTCGTGCGTGCGTGGCTTGGGCCGCTCTATCGTGAGATGTTTGCCAGGTTTGGCCCGATTGCCGCAAGAAGGAAACGGGGTGTGGTTGCGGTGTGTGATGGGACGCGCGGCGCGCGTTTCTCTGCCGGCCCAGCCGGGTCTGACACCAGTCTGGCGCGCCGTGCCCCCCCCCCCCCCCCCCCCCGGGCCGTCGGGTCTCCCAGCCGTCGACCGCCAGGCTGGCCGTCGTGCGCCGTTTTTTGCCGCGCCGGCCGGAGCGCCGTGGTCGGCTCAGCGTCGCCCGCGGCTGGGTGGCGCCCGCCAGCTCCCGCGCCGCCCTCCGCTGATCCCGCCCGTCGCTGTGCGCCGCTTCATCGGCACGCCCCCCCCCCCCCCCCCCTCACGCCGCGTCGCGTCGCGTCGGTGCGTTGCCGGCGCCAGAACGGCGCGTCGCCGACTGTCGGTGACGTCGGCGTGCGTCAGAGGAACCGCGGCCACGTGCTCTGCGCCGCGTGCCGGTCGCCGCCGCCGCTGTTTCCTCCGCCGCGGTCCGGTTATGAATGATGCATACGTGCGGACGGCGGCGGCGACGGCGGCGGCCTGGCTGTCGGGGCCGTGTCAGCTGGAGCAGACCGGGCCGTGTCAGCCGGAGCCCATCGGTCCGTGTCAGTCGGAGCACACCGGGCCGTGTCAGCCAGAGCAGAACGGGCCATGTCAGCCAGAGCAGACCGGGCTGTATTACCGGAGCACGCCGGGCCGTATTAGCCGGAGCACACCGGGCTGTATTAGCCTGAGCACACCGGGCTGTATTAGCCGGAGCACGCCGGCCAGAGCAAACCGGGCCGTGTCAGCCGGAGCACACCGGGCCGTGTTAGCCGGAGCACACCGGCCAGAACAAACCAGGCCGTGTCAGCCGGAGCACACAGGGCTGTGCGGACTGCCGTCCAGTCGGCCTCAAAGGCCCCGCAGTGGGCGCGCGGCGTCGGTGCTCCTCTGGGATGCTGTGTTGCGGCTCCAGCCCAAAGCGGCGGCGGCTGTTGGCCGTGTTTCGTCGCTGCTACGATCGAGGCCGGTGGGCAAACTGGCTGAAACGTCAACTAACCGGTCATTGTGTGACTTCGGAGGCCCTGTCCGACCTGGCCAGTCACGCTGTTGCCGAGCTTACATCTCTTCAGCCACTGATCTTGCTGCCATGTAGCTTTGAGCCACGAAAGGGTCTAAATCTATATCTATAAATATATCTAAATCTATCTAGATCTATGAATCTTGAAAAGCTGTGAAGCAACGGCATCGGTGCATTTGAGTGCAGGTTTTTTGATTACACAGCGCGTTCCTGTGGCTGCTGGGTTACAATATAACCGTAATTGCATTTTCCTTTTCGGAATAACATGTTTGCATGCTGCCACAAAAAGCTGGAGGACCGCAGCTCAAAACTGGGCCCACATGTCGACACGGGGCGTCGCAGCAGCATGAGACAATGATTCGCACCGAGGACAGAGCTGACAATCGTGCTGTCAAACGCGTGGCCCTGTGTGCGCAGACTGTGACGCGCCATCGTGTGCCAAAGCGGCACCTGCCCGTTTTGGGGACGGTTTTAAGGAGTGGCGTCGGCTGCCGGCGGCCGGCCAGTCGGATACAGGGCTGTCGTCAACGTAACATTTTTTTCCCGAAAGCGACCGCAAATGTAACGCGCTGTGGCCTGCGCTAGGAAAAAGTGGGCCGCGAAAGCTGCACTGTCACATAGCCCAGTCCGTTATCGCCAACGTTCACCCAAAATTGATCGGGGTTTGCAATGCTTGCGTCACAGTCAGCAAACACGCAAACCATTTCCAATGTACCAATCTCGTTAGCTTTGGTCGCCTGGTCCAAAGCCACCCAAGGTTCCAGCCATGTCATGTGTAAATAAGAACGCGAACGCCAAACATCGTTTACGTCTGCTTGCCAAACTGGCTAAGGTAGGACATTCTCATGTATGATACGTTTTATTTCTATAAGATTTAAAAACTAGGGGTGTCATTTGCATTTGTTTTGGCGTCATGTGCAGAGTGATATCAGCCACGTATATTGTCACGGCTTCATTAGTCTGCCGTCAACAGAGATGTACTGACACGCTTACTGCGCTTCGGTGTATACTGTGCTTCCGTGAGCACTATAAAAGACCACTGAGACGTTCTTTGATTCCCATTTGGCCCATCTAAGAATCGCATACAGTAATGCTGCCCAGCGGTCTGGTATCGATACTTTTGTCAGTCGTCGGATTAAAGGCTATTTTTGATCGTGCCTCGAACACCGGACGTCGGAAAAACGCTTAGTTAGGGGAGCTGTATGTGGGAGGAGCCATTGACCTGCTGAAAGTGCGGCGAGAAGGATGAGGCAAGTGCCTCCCCCCCCCCTCCCCGCCGTCCCCCTCCGATCACCATCAATCACCATCACCACCACCATCACCATCACCATCACCATCACCATCACCACCGCCACCACCACCATCTTCTGCCGAAACGCCGCCGCAGCGGAGTCCACATCTTAGCGCCGCGTAGGTCCGGTCCGATCCTGCACAAGCCGCCGCCGTCGGTCCAGTCGCCCGGCGGCTATTGTGCCGGCTAGCTACACCGGCTGCCCGCTCCGATACATAAATCATGCGGCTCTGGCCGCCTTATCGGGTGGCGGATCGCTTCCTGCCCTTCGCAGAGGTCGCGAACACGGAGCCGGACCAGAAGCATTTGCATTCGTGCTGGTGGCGGGGGGGGGGGGGGAGAATCGCGTCCGGACGGGCCGGCGTCCCGCCGCCGGCCGGGCTGCGGGTCAGGCCAGGTCAGGCGGCCTGCTGGCGGCCGGGTCCCGCCGCCCCGCCCAGTTGCGGACGGCGCCGCCAGGGCGACCTCGGCCCCCGCACCTCTTCCGCGTGGGTCTGAAGGACACCGACGGGCGGACGGTCGCTTGACCTGGTCGCATCGACCTTGACCCACGGCACCGACCGGGCCGCTGCCGGCGGCTGGCGCGAGCGCCGCCTCCGTGGGCTGCCCGCCGCTGCGCCGTCGCTCAGGGGCGTTCTCTCCTGAGAGGGCGCTCAGGTCTGTGTGTTTCTGTGCGGTCGGCGGAGCGCCGCTTGCCCGCGGCCGGCGCGCCGTTTTTTCTGGCCACGGCCCGCGGCCGGCCAGCGCGCGCGCGCGGTCGCTGACCTTGTTACGCCAATCGGTCGGCTTGGCGGCTATCGGCGGTGGCGCGCGTGCGCGCGCGCGTCACCCCACGGAAGGGTGGGTGACGGTGGCGTCACGGCCGGCGGACTCGCGCGAGTGCCGCCGTTACGCAGCGGTTCGAGGCCGGTGACACAAGAAAAACTGCCGGCTCCGGTGCCCGCCAGCCGGCGCCGGAGGACCGACGGCCCCATATCCCGTTCACTGGAGCGCCGGCGAGGTGCGCACGGCCGCTGGGAACCCGCCCGGACTAGAGGTGTGCACGGTCATGCGGCGGACGCCCAGAAATCCGAGCGGCGGCCGGCCGTCTGCTTGCACCCGGTTCGTCCGTGTTCGATGTTTCCGAGCGCGACGGCTGACCCTTATCATGATGGTGGCATGCCGCCCGCCGCCGCCGAGACTCCAGCTCAGCCCTATGTCGGCGGACCCGGCGGACTCGCCCGCCGCGGAGACCCGGCAGGCCCGGAGCGCGGCGCGCCCCGCCGGCGACGCGTCGCTCCGATGCCAGCTCGCGCGTGAGACGGCCGCACCACCGCTCTGAGGTCCGCGTCGACAGGCGACGATGTGTGAATGGCGCGGCGTGGCCCGTGAAACGCGGCGTGTTGTGCGCAATCTGCGCAGCGACGGGCGGTCCGAAGCGGCCTGTAATTTGCTGCCGGTCGCCGCTTTGTCCCGCCGGGCAGACGCGCGCCGCAGCCTTGGAGGGCCATTCAGTGCCGGATTAGCGGGCCACGGTGACATGGGCTCCGGCTCGGCCGGACCCCCCGACCGACGGCCAGCCAGCTCCGGCTCCGGCTCCGGCTCCGGCTTCGGCTGGAGTGGCGCATGGGCGGGCGCCCTTCCGGGCCGCAGGGCAGGTGTGTCAGCGCACTCGCGCGCACGCACGGCGTGGCCGGCGCCGGCTGACTCACGGCTTCGTCACCGGGCGGGCAGGGGTCGGTTGGAGCGCGGCTGCTCAAAGGCACCTCCGATGTGCGGCCGCGTCGCCGCGCGAGCCTGCGCCGTGGCCGCCCAACTGCAGGAAACTCGCTCCCCCTCCCCCAATCACGGTTGCCCAGTCCCTTGCCGCGTGCTCTCCGCCCGCATATGGGTCATCGCGTGCCATCGGGCGGCACTCGGCGCACGCGGCGGCCTGCTGGGCGGTCGGCGGCGGCGCTCCGGTCGTGTGCGCGCCCGCCGCCGTCCCCGGTAGCTGCCGGGCTCGGCTGGCGTGGCGTGACTCGGCTTCGATCGCCGCCGCGATGCGTTGCACGGAAGGCTGCGCCGGTCAGTCAACATCTGACGCGCCGCAGACGCCCCCGGCCGGGCCGCGGACCGGTTCGCCCAGGTCGAACGGGCGGACGGGAGAGGGGTGTGTGGATTACCACCGAGAGGGGCGTAGTCGGCGGTCGTTGGGCCACGGCTGGTAAGCTCTCGTCTAGCCGAAATGTGTCGATCTCTCTGCGGCCTCCCGGCAGCTCATGGCGGAGCGGGCTTTCGGCCGCGTCCGATCGCGCGGAGCGGCCCGCGCCTCAGCCCTCCGCTCGCCCCGCGCGGCGCTGACGCTGGCTCAGGGCTCCCTCCGCGGGCGGACCGCCAAATCACAGCCAATGTCCCTGCTCGCGCGGCCGCCCCGCCTCCGCCGAGTACACTCCAGTCGTCGGCCACCCGCTCGGGCTGTATAACCGTGTGTTGGCTCGCCCGTTTCGCCGTTGTTTGTCGTCGGCCGTTTGAGCGCCGGCCGCCTGGCGGCCCGCTGCCCGCGGCTGGCCGGCCGGGCACCTGTTTGCCCGACGGCCGGGCGGCCCGTGTGACACGAGCCGCCCGCCGCACAGGGCCGCTATCGGGGCGAGCGCGCTCTGGCGGGCTGGTGAGAGCTTGCTGACGGGTGCGGTCGGGGGGCACCCCCGCCCCGGGATGTCGTGACGCGCGGCTGTTTGGAGGACGAGTTCGCCGTGTTGGTTGGTCGCGGCGGGGTTCGGCTGCGATCCGCCTTGTCTTGATCAGTGTTTGCCAATCGTGCGGATGTTCCAGTCGCTTGGTGGTTGACACGGCGAACGTAGAACCTTGCCCAAACGTAACGCACGCACGCAGCGCCCGTTCAGACGTGCTTACACCGCAATTACGCCGTCCGCACATTCACATCGCGGACAAACGAACCGGGCACCGCAATCCGCGTAACCCTGCGGACGCGGCACCCCCATTCAAAACGTCAGGGGCGACTTTCCCAGCGGCGCGTCACCCTCGCCGTCCGTCACGGGCCGGGGCGGCTGGCGGCGGCGGGCCTCCGGCGCCGACCGCGCCCTGCCCCCGGACCCGGCGCCGGTGCAGCCGCACCGGCACGGCACGCCTGCACGGCGCGCCGGGCCGCGCAAGAGACGGCTGGCGGCGCCGGCGGCGGCCCGGCTGGCCGGCCCGTACGCCCAGCCGGACCGAGCGCGAGCGGCGCGCGCCGCCGCGGGGGCGGGCCCGTCGCCGCGGCTCCGCTGCGGGAGGCGGCTCGGCGCCGGCTGGCGGAGCGCTGTCGACGCCGTGCTGAAGGGCAGGGCTTGGTGTGGTGTGGTGTTTGCCCGAGGTGAGACCTGAATGTCTTTGCCTTAGCCGCGAAGGAGACAGAAGTCATTGGAAAATTCAAAACTCCACGAATGAGAGACCCAACCCACGAAAAAAGTCAAAACTGATGGGTAGGAACCGTACATTAGAGGTGTCAGTTGTCCTCAAAAATCTTGTCTGAGAACAGTCGGGCCGTGCTGTTTCTCCGGTGCTCAGGGTTGGTGCTCTCCGGTGCTCAGGGGTGCTCAGGTTGCCGGGCGGTGGGGGCTCGTTAGGAGGGTGATGGAAAGCTCGTTTTGGGGGCAGTGGTGTTTGTGTCGCCCACGCTGGCTCCGCGGGGGTCTGCTGGTGACGGCGTGGATACGTGCGACCGCAGCGAGCGATCGTAAGTAACGGGGAATGCGGCGTAAAGTAATCTGTGGATCACCTGCAGTTGTATCGGGCGGCCAACGGGACCTGACCGGACCGGTTCGAACCTCTGACGTCCTTCCACGCTATCCAAACGGTTACTTTCCTTTTGCACAATGGGCCGCGAAAAACGCGGCTTTGCGTGCTGGTCCCGTGAGTTTTCCTCGCCGCCGTCCGGTGCGCTGATGTTTCGCCGGAGCTCCGTCGCGAAGTGGGCACGCGGCGCTCTCTGGCGTCAGCCTGCGGCGGGAAAATCGCTGGGAAATCACCACAGTGTTGTACCGAATAACGTCCGTGTCGTCCCGCATTGTCCCAGCCCTTCCGCACGTCCGAAAATCGCAGGCTCCAGCGGCGTGGTGACAGCCACACAACATCCACATGCCTTGAAGGGTCTTCGATGGTTTTATTTCAAAAGATTTCGATGATGAAATAACTTTGTTGCAGCCACATGTGGGCTCGCGCAGCCATTGTCTGTGGTGATCGTTTGTTCTCATCCAGTCAGCGTCATCCAGCCCGGCTGCCCATCCACGCTCCCTTTTCCCGGGCCGTGGCTCTGCGTCGAGCCGTGGCGGCGAAGCTCTCCGCTCTCCCGCACGCTTTCCTTTCCCTGTAGTCTGGCTCTCGATCTCGGGTGACCGGCTGCGCCATCCCGCGACCCCGCTCTCTCCGCAGGGCCACGCGCGCCGCACCACGCCGCGCCCCCCCCCCCCCCCCCCCGGTTCGCGCCGGTGACCTCTCATGTGGTGTCCAGGCTCCGGCAACCAGCCGATGACCTCGTGCCGTGCTGTGCGGCGCCGCGCGCTCCGGCGTCAGTGTGTGACCGGCGTCTCCCGACTGTTGCAGGGTGCCTGGCCGTGCGGCGCTGGCCGCTGAGCCGCCTCACGAGCGGTCGCCGGTGACCACTGCCAGGTGAGCACAGCGGTCGGCCCCGGCCCCGCTTGGAGGCGTCACCCAGCCCGGCCGGCCCGGCCTAGCCCCGACCCGGCCCGACCCGGCCCGACCCGGCCCCGACCCGACCCGGCCCGGCCCGACCCGGCCCGACCCGGCCTGACCCGGCCCGACCCGACCCCGACCCGACCCGACCCGACCCGACCCCCGGGCCCGGCCTGGCCCGACTCGACCCGGCCCGGCCCGGCCCGGCCGCGCCCGGCCCGGCCCGGCCCGGCCCGACCCGGCCCGGCCCGGCCCGACCCGGCCCCGACCCGGCCCGACCCGGCCCGACCCGGCCCGACCCGGCCCGACCCGGCCCGGCCCGGCTCGGCTCGGCCCGGCCCGGCCCAGCCCGGCCCGACCCTGTAGGACCCGGCCTGGTCCAATCCGACCCGACCCGACCTGACCCGGCCCGACCCCGACCCGACCCGACCCGACCCGACCCGGTCCGTCCCGACCCAATCCGACCGATTCCGATCGGAAGGTCCGCCCGGCTCGCTGTCCAACAGCAAACAAAACCACCGCCGTGATACGGTCGGCTCTTGCGCAAGCGGCTGGCTGGTGACGAACGCGCCGATCGCCGCCGCTGCGGACGACATACGTCTCAGCCTCTCCGCCTGTTTGCCGCGGAACAGCGCGCATGGCCGCCGTCGCGGGCCACGCGTGCCACGGCTGGAGTGGTGCGGCCGTGTGGGGGGGCGGTGTCTGGCCACCGGCGCCGGGCGGGGCGCTTCCGCTCCGTTGCCGACCGGGCCGGCGCGGCGCGCCCGTCCCCCGCTGGCGGCGGCGGCGGCGCGGCGGCCGACCCAGCGTGGCGCGCCGGGAGCAGCCCACTAGCTGTCCATAACCCAGCCGGCCGTCGGCGGCCGGCAGCTATGACGGTGATGGCGGACGGCTGGCTGGACACCAAGCACGGCTCAGGGGCAGGGACGCGGCGTGTCGGTGTGTGCAGGACATCGGGCCGTTTTGCCGGCTCGTGTTGTTCCTGGCAAAAGTTCCTGACAAAAAGGGTTTCAGATCATGTATAGATTTAGTGCGTGGGGACTTTTAGGGTGGCGAGGATTGTGTGAACAGTTGGGATGGTGTGTGATGAACGGGATTTTTATGGCAGTCCTATGTGGCACCACAAGGCTGATGTCACTTATTAGCAGAGAGGGCGAGTCCGCTAATCTCGCCACCCTACCTCCGTCTGTCCAGGGAGGGCGAGTCTGCTACTCTCTCCATCGTACCTCCGCCTGTCTAGAGGGGGCGAGTCTGCTAATCTCTCCACCCTACCTCCGTCTGTCCAGAGAGAGCGAGTCTGCTACTCTCTCCACCCTACCTCCGTCTGTCCAGGGAGGGCGAGTCTGCTACTCTCTCCACCCTGCCTCCATCCGTGAATGTTCCTCGTGATTACGTCTCCCTCCAAGTGACTCTGTTTCTCGAGTCCCCCGTGTAAGGTGTTAATAAACATCTTAATGCTCAAAGTGTTCATTGTTTCGGGAGAAGGTACGTTTTAAAGACCTGGCACGGTATCATGACGCATATTATTTTGGTCGTATTGCCAACTTACAGCGTTATAGTCAGTTGGGGTCCAGCCCCCCCCCCCCTTCCCCTCACTTAAACAATAATTATGCGTCCCCAACTCATTTTGCGAAACTCTGAACCTGATCTCAAAGTCGGAGCTTCGGCATTTGGACATGGACTAAGCGTGACTTGCGGCCCGAGTTGTGTCATATGAGTCTCTCACACGGAGGCCCGTTTGTCGCCTAAGCCAAGTGGGCGCGGAAAGATACATTGAAACCATTTGGTCGTGTTGCCTGGCCTGGCGGTCCAAAGCTACGCTGCTGCCTCAGCGCCGCCGTCGGTGGCGTGGCCGCATACCATTGGCGATGCTTCCATTCAGGCACTCTAGATGCTTCATGACCGAATTTTAGAGCCCACGTTTGTGCCTTTCTAAAGTATGTCGTAACCTTGGACCGGATGAAATTTTGTTACGATGCATGTCAATGCATTTGAATGTCATAACTTATGTAGATCACACTCACCCATGCAACCTTCAAACTTTGCTCTAAACCTTTCACTTATGACGCGTATGTGTGGCAGTGTTATTACGGTGGTTTCGTAATGATTTATTTCCACATTATAAATATGTTCTGGTTACGCGCTCAGGCATGCTGGACCCAGCCTAAACCAAGGCTTTTGACTGATAGTCTTGACTAGGACAAGATTCCGCCATCATTCCGACCAAAGATCGGCACTTTAGCCTTGTTTTTGGGTATCACCTCCTGCACTTCAAACTGATGGCAGGCACAGGCCTATGTTTGTTCTGCTGATGCGAGTGAGAAGGTTGCACGGTTCGTAGTTCTGAACGCCAGTTGAGACTGTGATTAGTTTGGGAAGATGTGGAAAGAAGAGCGTGCACAGGCCGCAGCCATGCATTTGCATGAATGGCCAAGTGCCGTCCCAGTGTTTAAGCTGCCCCAGCGGGTTGGCGTCGCCCTTGTCGCATGCAGGGCCGGGGCGGGGGGGGGGGGGGGCGGAGCGAGCCAGGCAGCTGGTGGGCCTGCAGGGCCGCGGGGGCGGGGGGGGGGCGAGCCAGGCAGCTGGTGGGCTTGCAGCCGACCGCTGCCGCCCCAGGGCAGGGCGTGGATGAGACCCAACCGGTGGACGGCCGCCCGGCCCGGCGGCGGGGAAAGAAGGTGACGCGGAGGTTCCGTCAGCATCTCAGCCTCTCGTTACCGGCGTCGCGACAGCCAGCATGTATGTGGTCGTCTGTGGGGCCATCAACACTCGCATTCACTATCATTTTGTTTATATTTTATTATTTCGTCAAATGCATGTTGCCACCTTTCATGAATGTACTTCGTAAACATCGATTACAAGTCACCCACGGTTAGGTTGATTAGAAGTAGGTGATCTTGGGTGATCTCGACATGCGACCGCTCTCGCTGCAGCTTCGGGTGTTTCGTTCCTACAGCATTGCAGTGGCTCCATGAGATGGCACGTGCTGGCGGCGCCGACCAGCGACATCCCGTGCTGCTGCCCCGGACCCGTGTGGAACACGTGTCCCCTGACCTGCGCGTTTTCTCTCCACTCATGTCTGTTCATCGTCCGCTGACACGAAGCTGAACACGCATAGAAGCCTGGGCGGCACTGATCCGATGAGGCGAAGACGTGGGGACTTCTGATGACGATCCTTGCCGCCACCTCGGTCCGACCCGTGAACTGCCAGCCTCAGCTCCTCGGGCATGTGCGGCCGCGGCTCGTCTTCGGTCGGCTGCTGGCGGCCGGTCACTGCGCCTGCGCAGTGCTGCTCGCGGTGCGCCCGCATGCAGTCGCCATCGGACGCGTGGCCGCCCCGCACGGCCGGTGCCGGCCTCCGCCCGCCTCCCGGCGACGACAGGGCACCCGGCCGCCGCTGCGCCGCTGCATAGCAATGAGCGTCGCCGCCGGGCGGCCGCCGAGCCAGCGCGGACCGGGTCGCCCCGTCGCCAACGCGCGTGGGCTGGCCGGCGCCGCGTCGGTCGGTCGGTGGGCCGGCCGGCACAGGGCGCTCAGCGGGAGGCCGGCCGCCGGCGGCGCCCGCGGCTCCCCAGCGGGCGGCTCGGGGCACGCGCCCGGCGGCGGCCGATGACGTCATCCGCTGCACGGCGGGCCGCCGCCGCTCGGCGCCGTGTCGCAATCTGTTTTGAAGCGGTGCGCCGCGGGCGCCGGCCGTGCGTGGCGGCGGCGGCGCGCGTCCGCGCTGTTTGCCGGTCGTCGTTCGCACCGGCCGGCCGGTCGGGCGGGCGGCCGGCGCGACCGATCGGCGCGCGTTCCCCGTGCCCCGGGGGTGATGAGCCGTCCGGAGGGAGCGCGCCCTTACACAGCGGGGCGCTGGGCGGCTGACGTGTTGCTCGTTTCTGTGCCGTTGGTCGCGGGATGGGTCGCGATAGCGTCGCGGTGTTCTGTATTGTTCTGTCAGGTTTTGCCAGGTTCTGTATTCTGTCATTCTGTCGTTCTGTCAGGTGCACGCTGGCCGTTTGGCCTGTGAATATGGGCGAAAATGACGGGTTAATTGGAGTGGAGAACGTGCGTTGTGCGACTGCCTGGCGTCGTCGTGCTGTTTGTCTGGCATGTTTGACATGATTTCTCTGCTCCAGGCCAACTACGTTACCTGCCTCATAGCACAAATTCGAGCGACGCAAGTTCAAATCTCCGCCTGCCCCAGGACAGGTGAGCACGCGAGCGCCGATCGCCGCCACCGGCCCGCCCGCCTCCAAATAAAACTGCGCGCCGCGAACCGTGCCAAAAATCTAGTCACATTTCGGGTGCGGGCGACGGGCCGTTTTTGCGCGGCACGCGCGGCAAAAAGCGACGCGCCGCGGCAAAAAGTGGCGCGGCCGACGAACGCCGCTGCCGGGCCGGGTGTGCTTCGGTACCAGAGCGCGGGACCATCTCGTACGCGTCTGGCAGCGACGGCGCCGCTGGGAGCGTTGCTGTCGGCCGAGTCGACGGCGCCGCTCGGTCGCCAGCAGCCGGTGAGTGGGCCCCGGAGGCCGTTAATCAGCGGTGGTGACCCCCGCCTAGCCAACCGACTGGAGGCGGTGATGGGCGGGGCCGCCGCTGCGGAGCGGCGGTGGACAGGCGACGGCGCCAGCACCGGAGCCAGCGCGGGCAGTTGGGGGGAGGAGAGCAGGAGCGGACGGATGTCGTCACGTCGCTTTTTTCACGCACTGTGTCGCGTAGTTTTTGCTGGGATTCGCTAACG